AGGAAGATCCCCAATAAGTCGCCTGTGATCTCAAGAGACTTTTAAAGGACTGTCCTGCAAACGGGTAACAAAGCACAACAACAGACTTGATTTACAGTGCGTAAGTGAAATCTTTTGTCAGTATGCGCTCGCTGTGCTGTCCTGCTCCACTCTTACTCAGCAACAAGTCGTCTCTTTAGTGTCATGTCACCAGAGCAATGTGTCCGAGCCACGGCGACCCAAGTTCCCTTACATTTACTGGGTGGCCTCTGCCTAACCCAGGAGAAGAGAAAGAGGGACTGGGGGAGGGCAAATGACACAGAAAAGGAGAGACCTCCAGCCACTTTGAAGCTCCTCTCTGGTTCTTGTGTCAGGCTGCTCCCCCGTGGGACAAAAGACCTTTATGTGTGGCTGTAGGGGGGTATTGTGGGACTGGGGCGGTGGGCGGCAGGGCTAGATCCCCCCCGTCTATTGATCTGCACGGTCCGTTCTGTCTCACCTCCTCCACCACAGCCAGGCTTACCAGCTGTCTGCTCTACGCCTCTCCCAAACCGGCCACAAAGACGCACGCGGATCATTAGCATACTTAGTGGACTCGAGACTTACAGGAACTTCATGGAGACACGCATGAGATATATTTTTTGTTGTGCACACAAAACACACTTGCTTTGCATAAAGGTGACCACTAAGCGCATGTAGCATGATAACAACAACATCAAAGTGCCTTCTCAGCGGTTGACCTACAATTTGTGGTGTGACCTTTGCTCACTCGCATACATTGGTTTACTTTCGCCAATGTGTTTACATAAACATTTGACACAGTTGTGCAAGTCATATATTATGCAGTGTCTAAATAGGGTCGAAACCTTTGGCTAGTGTTGAAGAGGTTTGCTTTCATGCCTTGTTTCTTTTGATTACCTGTTGTTGATAATAAGTCTTTATTAAATCTTAAGTGTTTTTTTTTTTTGCCTTAACAGAAATTCTGGGGGGGATTATTAATAAATGCATAGATGGGTAGGTAGGTAGATAGATATATAGATAGATAGTTCATTATATAATAAAATTTTTAGGAATTCAGTTGACTAGAATTTTTTTAATTATTATTTACATTTAATTAAACCATTGCTTTCATAAACTCATGTCCTGGATCCAGTAGGCAAAAAACAGTATGTGAAATAAGTAGAGTTCATCGTAAAAAACAAAATGTACTTTGATGTCCTACTACTTCGACCGAAGTAGTGCATCTGATGGACACTTTACTATCCCATGAGGCCATGGGAGACGAGTTGTGAATGGCAGTGAAGTGATGCAGTGGCAGAGTATGTCACATACACGCATTCATACTATATAAAACGCACTTTATTAATGGTCACAAAGTTCGCTCCTCATCAAATGTAGGTCTACTCAAGGGGTTGCACGACTACTGATTTCTGCTAGTCAATTTCTTATTTAAAATAATACTTGAGTTACTCGAATACTCGTGGTTCATGCTACTGTAAATGAAAAGACATGAAATAGTTCTTATCAATAACGCGTATTAATTCACAGCCTAATGCAACAATTACATATGTAAATTGTCAAAACTTTATAATTATGACATTACATATTTTAATTTTCATGTAACAGCCAGTATTTGTATCTGTATTTGTCTCTGTAACAATCACAAAATTATTCGGATAAAACCTGGTGGAACGTCGTACAGTTACTTGATAAAACCGTTATGACTATCTATTTTTTTCATAGTTATCACTGAACAAGTATGCCATGTTAAACTAAAATAATTATTAAATTCTAAAAAATCTAAAAATAAATTGATCATGCAAGCAGAGAGATGTCATGACAAACATTTAGTGATCATTTGAAAACGACTGAATTAATTCAATGCGCACATTTTCATTACGCAGAACTCTTTCTGAGTCTTTTTTTGAACTTCACTAAACAAATGTGCGTGTGCCACGCAAACCAGCAAAAGATAAAAATGCAAACATATAGGCCTAGTAGAAAATGTATCTGTATCTAAGTTGATTATTAGCCTACTCTTGAGAGAGAGCTAGTTTGTTTTTTGAGAGACTGAGACGCGCAGAGATGGCAACGCGGCTGTTTGATTGGTGAGCGCGCTGTGCTTATTCCATTCATTCGTATCATATCGTCGCCTAAGGTTTAAATCATTGCATTTTAAATATATACAAATAGGCTAATTGAACTTGTATGATGTATTGATTATAAAGAGTGTTTGCGGTGCTGAATTCTGCTCTATTGCTGATGTAAAACATATTTTGTGAACATAATGCTATTACAGGGCTCCAGACTAACATTTGACAGCAGTGTCACTTGTGCTGCCAAACTCAACACATACACCTGATTTGATGGCACCAAATGATTTAATAATGATTAATAATATTGAAATATTGATAATGTTTTTTCTCTTTGAATTGCACATTTGACAGTAGCTTGAGTTGACAGTAACAGTAGCTTGAGGTGGGATGCAAATGTATATTTATTTGTATTAAAAACTGTAACATCTGTTTAAAATCTTTTATAGGGTAAAATGTAAATATTCAAACTGACTCAGGAGTTAGGATTCGTATTAAAATAAAAATGATCATGAGACCCACAGGTAAAAAAAGTAACTTTGTTTTCTATAGTTCTGTAACTGTGTGGTTTAGCTTAAACGCATTTAGTTAGGGCTAAGTATTTTTCTAGTTGACTAGTAGTCATTCTTTTAAGCCATCAGTCACAGGTTTATATTACTTTAATTAATTTAAATACTTAAATATACCGAATATTTAATATACAGCATATTCCGCACAAGTTTGCTCACGCATCAAGCTTGCCTCAATGCAAATGTATATTTATTTGTATTAAAAACTGTAACATCTGTTTAAAATCTTTTATAGGGTAAAATGTAAATATTCAAACTGACTCAGGAGTTAGGATTCGTATTAAAATGATCATGAGACCCACAGGTAAAAAAAGTAACTTTGTTTTCTATAGTTCTGTAACTGTGGTTTAGCTTAAACGCATTTAGTTGGGGCTAAGTCTTTTTCTAGTTGACTAGTAGTCATTCTTTTAAGCCATCAGTCACAGGTTTATATTACTTTAATTAATTTAAATACTTAAATATACCGAATATTTAATATACAGCCTATTCCGCACAAGTTTGCTCACGCATCAAGCTTGCCTCGAAGGACCAGCAAAAGTAATGACCTTGAATATATCAGATAAATAGCAAAGAGGTATTTGAATTATTTATTAATAAACTAGTATTTTCTGATTCCGTGTTGGCTGTAAAGATGAATTTGATGATGCTGACTCGATGACACACCTTTTAGAGAGAAATGCACCTTTCATATGGATTACATAATCAGAGAGTAGCCTCTTGTCGTCGACTATTACAGGGCCAGCCCTACATTTAGTTTAAACAATGATGCACAAAACCTGCTATAGCTTAATAACAAAGGATACTGCAATTAAATTCAATTACTGATAACATTTCATATGAATATGCCACATTTCTACCACAATACCATGTTACAGTTTAGGGTTACTAAAGTAAATGCTGTACATTGTAAATGTTGGTGATTTCTGAATTGAAAATCATTCTAACTGGACTGTTGTGGCACAGTTTTCTTTTTCTTGTTTTCCATGTCAGTTTGTTGAGATTGTCAGTGCTGGTTCATCCAGCTTTAAAATAGTTTAAATCACTTGGTGGTTTTCATCAGAAAACTGCAGTGACCTCAAGCGCTTCTCACAGCGCTGTTTAATTATGGTGGCTTGATCGAGATGCGAGTAAAAGCACTCCTCTAAGATCGCACTGCGCCGTCTCTTGGGCAGAGCTGAGGTATGTCCATGTGGTGCATTTCAAACCGGTAGTGCTGTTTCGTTCCACTTTTGGCCCGTTTGCCATAATGTTTCTCATGCACAACTGAAATGGAAGTGTTATCGTTTAGTCAAATTAGTGTCACCTCCGTGACCGCTATAAGTGCGACCGTTTAGTCACAATCTAGAGTCCTGCTATTAAAGGGATACTCCACCCCAAAATGAAAATTTTGTCATTAATCACTTACCCCTTTGTCGTTCCAAACCCGTAAATGCTTTGTTCGTCTTCGGAACACAATTTAAGATATTTTGGATGAAAACCGGGAGGCTTGTGACTGTCCCATTGACTGCCAAGTAACTTACACTGTCAAGGTCCAGAAAAGTATGAAAGGCATCATCAGAATAGTCCATCTGCCATCAGTGGTTCAACCGTAACGTTATGAAGCGACGAGAATACTTTTTGTACGCGAAGAAAACAAAAATAACGACTTTATTCAACAATTGGAGGTAAGTGATTAAAATGATCATTTTGGGGTGGAGTAACCCTTTAAGAGAAACTGCTTCTTTTAAACTAAATGTAATGACATTGATGTGAGGTGCCCTAACAGTTTATCAGGTCTTAAGGTCCTTGCACTCCGAGTCAGAATTTTTTTCGGGGTTTTTTTTCGTATCCGTTTTCCTGTCCTATCAAAATGCTTGCTACGGATGCAAAAACGCAGAAAATCAAACTTGGTCTGATTTTTATTTTTAATTTTTAATTTTTTTGTGACTGACAAAAGTTTCGGAGGCAGTGTGTAAACATGATTGACACATCTTGAGGTCGTATTTTTTTTTACGTGCTTTAAAATTAAAAAAACTATTTTGGAGGAGAATTTCGGACTCAGTGTGCAAAGACTGCTTTGTGAAGCAAAGATTTAAGCTTTCCTTCACAAAATATTCCCAAAACTCATTGAATTTTTAGACGGAGCTGTTACACCCTTTTATCTACTGCTTACTGAGAGCCTCTGCCTAACATTTCTCATTTAGTTTAAATGCCTCTGTGATGTCCTGTTGATTAAATCATGGTGACACGTACCACGACCTCCGACCCCTGTGAATAGATGTCTCCGTAAACTCCACCGACATCTGTTTGCTCGTCCGTTTAAAGCCTTTTATTCCATAAGATTGAATATATAATGATATATAATATATAATGACATTCATTTGAACTCTTTCCTACTTTCTTCTCCACACAGGTTGGCGCAGCGGCTCTGTGTGGAGACCTGAAGGCCTTTCTGAACCAAAACCTCTCCAAAGGTAGAAATAACTCTTTGTTACTCTGTAATATGTATTTATTTGCAAACAAATTTGTGCGAAGCGTAAGTTCAGAAATCAATAGACCTAAGTTAATGAATTATCTTAGTAAGTGCAGGTTCATTCAGAATGCAATAAACTATTTTCTTATGCTTTCATTTTTCAGTTTGGCAGTAAAAGAAATTTCAGGCAATTACTGGCAGGCAGTGAACTTTTATGTACTACCTACCGTTGTCTTGAAATTGCTGCGTTCAAAGTGAGGGGTCTGGGCATTGAACAATAAACATTCAAGAAATAATTACTCGTCTAATTGCACCACACACACAGACATTAAGTGACTGAATGAGTCTCAAACCCTTTCTGGTGTCGTAGGTTTCATTATAACATGACAGAAAATTAATAGTGATTCCTAAAATATGTTTGATGGCTCTATACCACAATAAACCTTATGTAATTAAGTGTTGAGACTTTCCCTCAAGCACTAACAGTATGAATGCTGTGAAATATAGATTTTTCTTCCAGTTAACTATAATCTTCATTTAAACAATTCAGTATTGATTCCTAAAATCCCAAGATTCATCTTACCTTTCAATGAAGGCATAAAATAAGTATTGTCTTCAATATGAATTGCATCAGTGCTCAGCTGCTCATTGCATTATATAATGAACAAGAACTATCAATGTATGAATCAAACTCTCTGAGAATGCTGTTGGTTTCTTTTGCATGTATCATACCAGCAACTGTGTGTGAAAACCTTGTGAAGACTTACAGCAAACGTTTGACCTCTGTCATTGCCAACAAAGTGTATATAACAAAGTATTGAGATGAAATTTTGTTATTGACCAAATACTTATTTTCCACCATAATTTGCAAATAAATTCTTTAAAAATCCTACAATGTGATTTTCTGGATTTTTTTTTCTCATTTTGTCTCTCATAGTTGAGGTATACCTATGATGAAAATTACAGGCCTCTCTCATCTTTTTAAGTGGGAGAACTTGCACAGTTGGTGGCTGACTAAATACTTTTTTTCCCCACTGTATATCTATCTGTGTTTATAGAACAGTGTAATTGCAAAAAAATTCCCCCCGCCCCCCCCCAAAAAAATTATATTATTTATAAGCTTGTTTCCCCTTGGGACCCAAATTGAGACACCCCATGAGTCAGTGTGTATTCGGGTTTAAGGGTCTGTTCACACTTGTCATGTTTGGTTCGATTAAAACGAACTCTGGTGCGATTGCTCTGTAAGTGCGGTTCGTTTGAGTAAGTGTGAACGCTGCCATCCCAACCCTAGTGCGCACCAAACTAAAAATATGGTTCCTGGTCCGCTTCTAAACGAACTCTGGTGCGGTCTGATGCAATGAGGAGCTGAAGTGCCTTTTAATTTGCTTTTCGTGAGTTTGCAGGCGGTAAAAATAAAAATCCTACGTACATGCAACAATGAGCGCTCCTAATCCAGCAGACGGCATTAGGTGTATTCGACTTAAAGCAGCGCTAAGCAGACCGATCGGTGAATGGGTGCTTTGATGTCAGACACCGATCGGTCTGCTTTAAGTCGAACACACCTATTGTTTGGGGTGTTCAGTAAATTCTGTCATGAAATATATGTCATTCAACCTGACCGATCAGGTTGTGAGTGCATGACTATGCCTTTAGGTTCAGTATCTTTAGATTCACAGTCAAAAATGCCAGTGTGAATGCTAAGCCGACCAGGACAAAATGTATCGTTTTCCTTTTTGGTCCTAACCGAACTACAAGTGTGAACGCACCTAAGTCCTCACCTGGATATAAAAACAAGGTCTCACACACATCGTAAACACAGAAGCTCACAGTACATGCACAAGAACCAATGAGGTTTGTTCTAGCACATGGTGCATGCAAAACACTTCTGTTCACAATATGTGTGTGGAGCATTATGTAAATAAAAACCTAAAATAATTTGCTCATCATATAAAGGGATCGTATCTCTTCACAAGACTTGGATTACATTTCTTGATTCATTTTTACGAAGCCTTTATGTCCTTTTTGGATTGTTTATATATATTTTTTCCTGGACTTTTAGTAGAGGGACGGAAACATTTCAGGTTTCATTAAAACTATCTTAGTTTGTGTTTTTTGAAGATGAAGTCTTAGGAACTTGGAAGGACATGGGGATTTTCATTTTTTGGTTGAAGTAAGCCTTTAAGGTAAAACCTTTTAAATCACCACTAAATGCACCTTTAAATTGGAATCAGACCAAATCATGAGTTTGTGAATCAGAATCGAACTGCAAAATCAGTGCGGATTCTTTGTGTTGTTTAAGTGTGGATTTAAAGAAATATTTAGAAATTAAATACATGTGCTAAGTTCCATTGATGCATCTGTGATACTATTATAACAAACATGAAAACAGTGACTGTGTGTGCATGTGCACCAATAATATGATTATTTCAGTTACGGTGCATGCAAACATAGTCATTGAGAGTTATACACCTACAGTAGTCCTTTCTATGAGGTGAATGTACAGCAATATTCAAAATTTTCCAGAATAGGCTATAGGCATGGCTGTACGTTAACTTTTTTTGCACATAGCACTGGTGCTACAGAGGTTGAAAGTTTTGTAGCACAGGCCAAACAGTTGTAGCACAAGTATAAAACGTCTGTTATCATGTCTGCAAACAAACAAGTACTGAAAACAAGTAATGGAGTTCATCACTTAAACAGGCATTGATGTTCCATAGCACAAAAAATACAAACATCACAAAAATTGTTTTTCTTTATTTGCTAAAAATGGAAGAGTGCAGAAACATGACACCTCTTACACCTCAACATTACACATCAAAGTAGAACAGATCTGTAGGCAGACATCTCTAAATAAAAAATAAAGATAAGAAAATAAAACACTACATTTGCAAACTAGCAAACTAACCTATACCATGACACTCCTCTATGAGACTAATGCTCTCAACAGTTGAATCTTTTTTTACTTTAGTGCATGCATAGTGTGTTTGTCACAGATCTAGCATGTCTGCTGGCCACTCTTTTGTATTTGGTCTCCTGGCCCTTTTAGAAGAGGTCATCCATTTAGCTGCTACACCATTTGGATTGAATTCCTCTAAACAAGAGCTGTTGGTCAGCATCACAAATTAACCAAGGCAAAGCCTTTTTCCACTCGGGCCCGAAATCACTATATACATCAGTTATCCTTTTTCTTTTCTTTTTTTAAGCAACCGTATTGAAGTTCATCAGTCAAGAGCAGTGAGTGATTTTTCTCTGTGTTTTGTTGTTTTATTAATATTGAAGGGATAGTTCACCCAAAATGAAAATTCTGTTGTCTGTCAATTCTGTCATAGTGTTTTATTTTTTACACCATAATTTACTCCGTTTAGACATAACTAATTGTGCTTATATGTAAACCTTGTGTGTTTTGACCATATTAGATGCGAAAGACAACTTAGTCTAGTAATCAGGTGCTGTTTAACAGGTTCGTAGTTTGCGCGCGCTTCAGGTGTACATGCTTATAAAAAGCGCACATCAGAACAGTGCGTGAATGGAATGTGTAACCTTTGAAGCATATGCAAATGGCCTACTTTTGTGATTGCGAATAAGTACTGTGTCCTGTGAATGTAACTCTACTTCTGCAAAAGACAACTTAGTATAGTAATCAGGTGCTGTTTAACAGGTTCGTAGTTTCAGGTGTACACCGCTTCAGGTGTACGCGCTTATAAAAAGTGCACGTCAGAACAGCGGGTGAATGGAATGTGTAATCTTTGAAGCAGATGCAAATAATGTACTTTTGTGATTGCGAAATAAGTGCTGTGTCCTGTGAGTGTAACTCTACTTCTAAGTTAACATTAGATATGGATGTGTCGCGTTGCACTAGGCTACAGTAGCCTTTATTGAGACGGAGGCGCCAGAACTGCATCTGATAGAATGTGCGCTGTAGCACGATACTATGACATTTCTTCAAAAGTAGATCGTGGAGACATTTTAATAATCATTTCACACACCCCTAACTACCAAGTAGGCTGTAATCAATCTCACACACACAAACAAGCACAACGAAATCATTTCACACTATTAAGTGGCTGTGCTATGAACATGCAAATCTGGATCACACGCGTGCTACAGTGGTAAATTTATTCATCACACAGACCAGTTTTTACGTATATGTTGCACTGTACAGCCCTGGCTATAGGTTGTGTTTTTTTTCTCATCTTTGTGTTTATAGTGTTTATAATGTTTGTAAACATTTTATTTACCAATATTTTACATTGTTTCTGAATGTAATAATGAATGCAACATATGCACTGATGTGATTTCTCTCTCTCTCTCTCTCTCTCTCGCTCTCTCTCTCTTTCTCAAAAAATTAAATTTTGCCCCTGTGTGACTTCCATATTCAGGTGTGACTTAATTGCTGGAAAATATGGTACACTTAAGCTGCCCATTAATAAAACTGATGTTACTGTAAGAAACGTTTTTGTTGGAGTGCACTTTAAAAAATAATTTATGGTAAAATACCGGCAGCTATAGTTGCCAGAACTTTACCGTGAAAAATACGGTAGCAACATTTTAGGTTTTACGGAACTTTAAATTTACAGTGAAAAACCGTATTTCATTAACTGATACAATGTTAATATGCAAATCTTTTGAGTTAACTCATTTTGTTCGCAGAAAACGACCACTTCAATTGGCCAATTGGTATTTCTTTATAAACTAATATTTATAATTTTTAAGTAATGCAAGCAAATTGGTATTGAGAACTATTTTACTTAAGTCCATGAAGAAAAACCTACTGATTAATGCAAAGTCATTTAAAGCATCAATTCAACTCAAATCTCTTGCAGATAACAGCAGCACACATACAGGTGCATCTCAATAAATTAGAATGTCGTGGAAAAGTTCATTTGTTTCAGTAATTCAACTCAAATTGTGAAACTCGTGTATTAAATAAATTCAATGCACACAGACTGAAGTAGTTTAAGTCTTTGGTTCTTTTAATTGTGATGATTTTGGCTCACATTT